CATACACATACACATAGATCTACACATTTTTCTTGTATTCTCCCCCATAAAACATATAAAAACCGAAAATATAGGGGTGTGAAGCTCACCTTGAGTTGTTGGTTTGGTTTTTGAAGAGAGAAATGAAGAAGATTCGATCCTAGCAAGTGTTCTTGGAAGATTTTTGACTTAGATAAGGGAGATTGTTGATGAAATGAAGAAGATATGTTATGAATCAAAGAAATAACTTACCAAGGATGTGAATTACTTGATGAAAATCCTTAGACTTCAAGCCAAATTTTTGAGATCTTCAAAGAAGAATGGGATGATCTTGAGAGTGATTTAGAGAGAATTTTTGGTGAGGTGTGTGTGTGTTTGTGTTGTTTCGGCCGAGAGAAAAAGAGAGAGGAGAAGAGAGAGACTTGGGAGTTGCATGCATGGAAACATGGGAAATTTGCATGGAGAACCAATGGTTAAATGTGAGGTGGCAACTTAAAGTCAACTCCTTCTCTTTTGGGTTGTTGGGCCGAAAAAAGGAGAGGGGAAAGAAGAATATTGGGCTTTTTGCTCTTAAGCCCATCTTGTGATTCACTTAGATGAATTTCGGCCCAATTAAATCAAAGAATGATTTTTATGACCCATTAGGGCTATTTTAAATTGGTTGTGACCCAATAAGGCCCATTAAAAGTTAACCTAGTTTATTTTAGGCTTATAAGGCCCAAAATATTAAGTTTCATGTATATGGGTCCAATTAGGGCCCATTTGAGAGTTCTATGTTCAAGATAGTTAAATTGGAAGCTTATTGGTCCATTAGGCCCAATAAGGAAATCCTAGTCCAAAATGGACTTAAATCGGGATTTCAAGGGTTTCCAATTCTTTGTTAACTATTTGTAGTGCTTGAATAAAGTGTTTGATGAACGTTTTGTTGTTATTGAATAAGCATCATACATGCTTTCACAATGTTGGTTCATAATTGATATAATTGTTGTAGTTACAAAGCATCAAAATTCCTAGTTGTGACAGACCCATACCGTGTGGTCTTAGAAAAAATATTATATTATTTTTAGTGTATTAAAATTTTTATATTTTCTGAAATTCTTATTTAAGGTTTTCGAATCTTAGACTATTTCCATGAAAGGATTAAAAAAACCATTATATAATTTTTTTAGTGCATTTAAACCTTCATTTTTTTTTTTGAAATTTTTTAATCTAATGAATTGTAACAATCAAAACGTTGAGAATTGTACCTAACATTTTTTTTATCTAGGGTTTCCAGAGCTCAATGTCTTAAATGATATATTTTAAAATATATAAGGGTTTAACGTACAAAAAAATAATATAGTGATTTTTTTAAGACTTTAATAAAAATATGTTGAGTTTTTATAAGTTTTTCCCTAATTGGTTTAACATCTTTGGGAGTTTAGAAATAAGATTATTTATGGTAAACATCAACACAAATTAAAAAAAATAATTAATTAATTTTTTTCTTGTGTTCGAATAGGGTTGAGCTTTACTTAGATTGGGTGTCATGGTTACAAAACTATATTTTTTTCTTTCTTGTAATATGGTAACTTTTGTTTTGTTCTAACTTTTTGTTAGTTCTTGATTTATTTTTATAAGAACGGATGGTGCATCTCTTTCCATATATCGCGGTAAGATTCGGTATGCGGTAAACACTACATCGAGGCCCTCCAAAAAAGTGTGGTATGCGGTATGTGAGTATCAGTTTTCTTTTTTATAATATATATA